TCAAGGATAAAATTGAACTACAACAGAGACAACCCAGGTGGAGATCTTAAGATCTTGTGAGAACTGACAAGATCCTGTGGGAAAATAATAGTGGTATACACTGATTCGTTCTCCTCCTTTCAGGTTACGTATCAACTGAAGATTTTAACCACAGCTTTATTCTCTGTGTGCATGCTTCACAAAAAGTTAGGTGTTTTAAAATGGATTTCCCTTCTCCTACTAATGCTTGGAGTTACTTTAGTTCAGGTGAGATTGTCTTTTGGGATGTATTTGGATCAATGCTAATGGCTCAAGATTTCGATGGCTTACTTTAAACTGATTATTTTGTGTGATATTGTTAAATTTTCAAGGTAGTTCAGTACAGAGTGGTGACTGTAATGCATGCAAGGCAAAATGTTACTTTGAAAATAACAATTCTTGAGTGTTATAATTATCTATTTCTAAGTACAGATTTAACTAAGTTGCATTTTATGTGGAGCTGTTCTTAGATCACATGGCTGCCTTACCTGAATATATCCCCCTTCCTCCTCTCTTTTGTTATTAATGATAAATGTGCAAAAGATATTTAACAATTATTCCACGAGCACGCGTTGGATATGAGATGATAGATAGCTAATGAGGCGCGTAGCCCCTCGTTGGCTTAAATCATCTCATATCCAACAAACGCCAGTGGAATAATTGTTTTATTAAAAAAAAATGCCCTCAAGATATTAGACAAATTTTCTCGACTTTATTTTGTAAGAAGAAACCGGATGTTGCAATTAATGTACAGATATTAGATTATGGTATATTGGCTCATATATCATAGTGGCTAAGCCAATAAAAAGTCTTGAATTGCATTATCCAATGATCCAGTTTTTAATAACAAACTTTATAGGCTTCTTTTGTAATAAGAACAAAATAAGCAGTGACTTAGCTCACCAGACCTCATTGCCTTCTTTGCATTATTAAGCAAGTCAGGATATCTCTAGCCACTCAAGGGGATACTGATCCATTCCAGGTTCACCTTCCAACCCCACCCTTCCCTCCACCCTAAGCATTTATTTTTTTAAGTTTCCCTGGCCTGACTGTTTTCTGATATTGATTTTCACTCCTGAGAGGTGTTATGATGTAAAACATCTAGCCCAGAAAAACAACACACTGTTTCTACTGGGGCTTGATCCCTGAGAGCTCTCAATTTGGTATTCATTTCACTAACTAGTGGTTTACAAGTTCTGATTATCACCTCCCTAGTTGGATTGTTTTACTCACTCTGCACAATTTAACTCTCAGTGATTTTTACCAATTTTATAAAGCAGGTTAACACTTCATCTGAATGTGTAGGTCTTGTTTGCTGTTAAATATACAGTGCCCGTCAGTATGGTACTCTAACTCTAAATATCCTTTACTATTAACCTTCAAGCAACTAGAATATAATAATTGTAATCATTGCAGGAAATAATGAGTTAAAATAATCTTTTTGAGCCATATTATCTCGCTGTACTGTTTTAGCATTTACTACAACTACTCATTTCAGTGTCTATGGCTATTGATAGATATTACCTTTGCTGCTTTGTGGCTCTTTATTATCTCTTTGTTTGATTTTTTGTGTGTTTCTTTTTCTTTTTTTATAGTGGCATCCAGATAAAGGCAAAGAATCTACCACAAAGGATATTTCAGTTTCAGGAAAGTTTATAGGACTTATAGCTGTTCTCACAGCTTGTTGTTCCAGTGGGTTTGCAGGAGTCTATTTTGAAAAGATTTTAAAAGGAACTAAGGCATCAATATGGATGAGGAATATTCAGTTAGGTAACGCTGAACCTGTTATACTGGTTTATCTGTAAGACTTCATAAACGAGGGGGCTTGTTTCACTAGAACCACCTTCCAGAATGTTCATGATAATTCCATTAAGTAACTTGGGAATGTGGCTTCTCATTTTGTTGGGACGCAAGTCTGCTGCATATACTGTGCATATGTGCAATATCCAACATTTCATCAGCATGTCTCAATAACTATCTTTATTCTTCAACTGCACTCCAGAGAGTACAAATAATGCCAAGACGAGTACAAGTATTTCAAGGTGTTTGTACTCCAGAGAACCAGTTAGAGAGGTTTTCTCGCATCTCGCAAGGGACAAATTGGATTGAGGTTCCAAAAATATGGCAGACAACTGATGACGAAGAGTGGGATTGGCTGGCAAATATTGATCCAAGTTTATTAGATAAATCGAACAAAGAAAAGCAGTTAGATGACATGAAATTTCACCATTTATTGAAGAAAATAGAAACAGCAAGATGACAATGCGCCAATTCCATTCCACTTTGCATACTCCTGTCACAGACTCCCCACAAATAAAATATCCACAAAGTTCGCCCACACTGAGATAACAATTTGGCGCATTGGATGATAAATAACTTATTAGAGGTTTTGTTGTGTAGTATTGCTGAGTATTTCTACTCGCTATTTGTATTTCGACTCGTCCTATGGGCTCAACTCATAAAAATATTCAGCAATACTACACAACAAAACTTCTAATTAACAATTATTCACGGAAGGCGAGGTGAATATCATCGAAGACGAAGTCGAGGGGATTATTCAACAATATTCACCGAACCTGAGGCAAATGATTGTTTCAGTATAACTTCAGAGCTGAACAACAGAAAAATTTCTAAAATCATAACATTTTAGTAACACTTATTTTAACACATTTTATTTTAACATTAATAAACCGCGTGGAGCAGTTTATATAGCATCATATAAGGAACCACTTGACCAATCAGATTGCTGGAAACTCTTTGCTCAGCTCTGAAATTATACTAATTAGATATATAAACTTCATGCTGTAGGGAGTGGCTGACAAATTTAACCCTTCAACCCCCAAAGAGTAACTAGCATCTAATTTCTCCTTGCAATATCACCCCTGAGTCACACTGTTGGTTTTATTTTTGCCTGCTCATATCCTTCTATGTCACTGACAACAAATTTGTGACTCCAAGCTTTTCAAAAAGCATAGGAATACTTTGAGCTGTTCCCTGCAAGAGGAGAACACCTGATCATTAGTTAAGGTAATAGGCCTTTTGCAGCTAGAGATCACGTGCTTAGATACCGCATAGCAANGAGAAACATACATTCTGCATTTATTTAGGTTTGACTTTTCATGGAACTGAAATCAGTTGCATCATGATTCTTTCTTTACTGACATTTCTCTCCATGATTGCATTTTTAAGGAACTTTTGGTGTGATATTTGGTCTGGTAGCAGTGTATGGAAATGATGGAAAAGCTGTTTCAAATCAAGGTTTTCTTCAAGGTTATAACAATATCACATGGATAGTTATTTCACTTCAGGTACGTTGGCTGTGAAAATATCGTCCAGGCTCCAATGAGACTCGAGGCTCAGGGGGAAGGGGTTATTTAATTTCAAGGGCTTCCAGACAGGGGAGGGTGGGCAGATATTATAATTAACTCTCCGTGAGTTGAAACCTAAGATGGTTTTTTCCCCTAAATTGTACCAATAAATCAAATGAAAATTTAATTGCTGAATTGTGACTCTACACTATACACTTTAACAACTGAAGATGTATTTTCATTTATCTTTAACAAAATGTATTTTCGTTTTATTTAACAGGCATTTGGCGGGTTAGTAGTAGCTGCGGTTGTAAAGTACGCCGACAATATTTTAAAGGGCTTTGCCACGTCCGTGTCAATAGTTGTGTCGTCGCTCGTGTCATTTTACTTCCTTAATGACTTTAAGCCAACAAAGTAAGTACCTTGAATGTTTTGAAGTAAATATCGCTTTTTCCTCGATGTTTTTCACTTTTATGGGAAAGGATTACGAAAATCAGTGAAGACAGGAGAGGATTGAGTTACTTGGAAGAGAAGTGTTAGCCATAGTCATAAGTTTCATTCCTCGGGCTAGCCCTCATAAGTTATTTTTTTTTTACATTACAAGCTGAATTATACACGCATTTTGATTGGATCTTACTAATGATCTATTGGACGACAGACGCATAGATGAGGTCACCACTAACATCCATTTGCTTCACATACACTGTACAAAAGATATGGATTCCTTGAGAATCTTGATCTAACCTATCCTGTTTAGCGTGCGAGCAAGCCTTCATTATTTGCGCTGCAAAATGCGCGTTTTTTCGCTCGCGGGAAGATTTGAGACGAGTAACAGTGAGGATTGTCGGGGGTCTGGACCTCATTAGAGATATTTAGTACCGCGTTTACGTGAAACGGCAAACCTCAGCTTGCCCTTTCACGTTTCACGTAAAATGATGTGAACCCTGCTGCTTTAGCTTCGCGTAAGCTCACGTCATGGTGGATTTGAATGCGCTCTTGTAGACTTACAAGAAATAGTTTAGGTGCTCTTTTTCCGACAATTGTCTTCTACTCTGTGAGAGAAAAAAGGCAAAGTGCAACCGGTAAACGTGAGAAAATGGCGGGAAAAACGCGGTCGCGTGGTCACTCTCGCCGTTCATGTTTCACGTAAACGCGGTGCTGAATCTCTCTATTATCAGTTCCAGACCTCTCGCAGGCTCTCGTTGTTCAAGGACTGATACTTTCCCGGGGGTGAAGAAGCGTTCGTGCCTCCCCGCTAATAACGAGGGCCTGCCCACAGGCTAAATGCTGTTTTGCGAATGTTCTGTAGTCTTCATCCAGTGAAACGTTCTTTCCCCCAAAAATAGTCCAGCAAGACAGTGAGGTACATAGGACATTATTTCAAGGTGTTTAGAAGTAACTTGATAGGAATTTCCTTTGAAATTCGTTCCCTTAGCTTCATCCACTCGAGAGCGATTTATTGAAAATGAGAGATCGATGCTTTTTATTGTTTTTTTTTTCTCCTGGCGCTTGTGTGATGTTTTCCGGCAGTTTGCGCTCGATGCACAGTTTTGTGCGTTTAGCTGTCTGTATATTTTCCCCGTGCAGGGAAACCTACTACAATGATAATGAGGCTTATCTCTACTCTCTATCGGTTGGATGGTGTTCTTTCCCCAGTTTGTCTGCCTTATCTGTCTGTCTGATTGTCTGTTTGTCTGGCTGTCTGTCTAACTGTCTATCTGTCTCTCTGACTATCTGTTTGTCTGCCTTATCTATCCTTTTGTCTGACTGTCAGTCAGTCTGTCTCTCTGACTGACTGTCTATCTGTCTGCCTGGCTATCTCTTTGTCTGCCTTATTTATCTGTCAG